TAAATTTAAAAAATTTTATTACATTAAATTTTATTATTTTAAAATTATTTAATTAAATAAAAATATTATCTTCTACTCTCCTTTACTTTTATCAATCCAAATAAAATTAATACTAATTCTTTCCTTACTTTCCTTTCTTCTCCCTCTCCTTCCCTTTCTTTTATTAATTTTTATTCAAATATACCCTTAATAAGTTCATCCTCTATCCCCCGTTCAATAATTTAAAGTAAACTGCATGGTACATCTATGATATGAAAATGGATTTTTTTTTTCTTGAATAGAGAATATGGAAATGGTTTAATTCTTTGAAGTTTAAAAGGATTAAGATCTAAGAATGGGATGCTCTGGTTTTTGTTGCATGTAAAGCGCAGGCTGTCAGACTATGAATTTTGTATGCTTTGTCTTCTTAGCAGAATATGAAAATAGTTAAATTAGAGGGGAAATAATAAACTTCATCCCTAAACTTATAATGGGAGTTCAATTGAGTTCCATACTAACTTTTTAATTTTTATGCCAACTAAATCTTAGATCCATGCACCAGTCCTTTCGAGTCAAGTGGTCTCCAACCACCTTGAAGTGCATTCCCCTTTCCCTTGGTGGGTTCGAACCCACTACAACATTGTTCAAAAAAAAAAAAAATCCCAGAACCATATTCCATAATAATTCTCAATAATAATTAAGTCCTTTTCTTAAATAGTAGCTGGATATACTAAACACCATGAAAGCTTAAGAGTACAGGGACCATTAGTGCCATAAAATCCCTTTGTAGATTCCGTTTATTTAGCAGCAGAAGAATCTAAAGCCAGTTCTGAAATCAACCGGATGCTATATAGAAGCCATGCCAAGAGTTGAAGCTTCTCCTTGATCACAAATGTTACCCACTTTATCATAAACAATGCTGTTCCTTAAGCTGCTAATGTTCCTCAAGTAACACAAGTCATTTCCGTGATACTTGTATACTTGTTGGGTACCCCAATAGTTGCTCAAAATCAAGTTACCGTTCAAAACCAAAGCAGACTCTGCACTCTGCAAATTCTTGAGAGAGCTCGAGAACAATGCCCTGAAACCGGCACCCTTTTCATACTTCTCTTCATTGAATCCCAAACTGACATTGGCAACAGAAACAATTGTTTCATTTCCTATATCTAAGATGTTGAAAAACAAGGTGAGAGGAAAGGTTTTTAAAGATTCCATTGCATGAATATAATAGAAATTAGGCAGCTCTGCGGTAACAAATGCATTGAAATGAATCGTCTGATTCACAGCCTGAAAATCCCCATCGTTTTCCAACTCCATGGCATTGTTGAAGCTCAGCTGTTGAAATGTGGTTGTTGTGATCTTCCCGAAGGATGATTTAACCCATCCTGTAGCAGATATAGACCTGTTTGCAGTTGTTTTGAACATTCCATTCAAGCCCTTGAACCGCGAAGCAGTGGAAATAAAGAGTGGGGTGCAGTTGTATTTCAATAGTTTCGCTTCTGTTTTTGTGCTTCTGGTATCCAACCAAAGATGCAGGTTTGCATCTATGAACCAAATATTCTGGGCATTAGTAACGCTGAACCCCAATTTATGGGGCTTTCCATCCAAAATGTTGCCGAGGAATGGAGTTATTTCAATGTCATAAGAAGGTAAACTGAAAGAGCCAATGCCAGAAATGGGGATCCAGAAGAGGGGATAGATACCACCAGTGTAGATAATTGTAAAAGGCCAGACTGCCCCAACAACTCTACCGTCAAGACTGACTAATACCTCCCTAAAAGGTCCATTCCCGGGGGTTTTTAGATCATTTGCATCAATGTAGTCATTTGGGGGATTTGCATACCAAAATTCATCCTTCTCATGAAATGATATGTAGACCTCGAGCACAGCTCTATAAACATTTTGGGGCATTTTGAATTCCTTCAACTTTGTGTCACTCGAGTTCACAATTTCATACCATAAACCATCTGTTAAAGGTAAGCTTCTCGAAATCGGTATGATCAAATTAGCCCTAGAATTATCAAAATTACTCGGATTTTTTT